AAAACATTAAATTCATGCTCAGCGTGACGAGCTCAAAAATTTTAATTTGCGGAATATGAAAGCTCATAAATAACTTATAATTTTGCGCTATTGGTTTTTTTATTTGTGCAAGGTCCCCCCACCTTGGCCCCCCCCGGCCAGCTCGACAGGGGTATTTTCTGACGTTAGTGAAAGTAAAAGAAATATAGCATTGATTTAGGAAAATTAAAGTTTTTAAATTTATTTTTTTAAATCAGGTAATTTACACGACATTAAAAAGGGAGAAGCTTAAAAAAAATTAAAATACAATGATATCATTATTATTCTTCCATGAATTTTTTTTTGGTATCTTGAATTTGAAATTAAAATTGAAATAAATCTATTTTATCACATTAGTGCTAACGAAATGTCATAAAAAGCAGGCTAAAAAATAATAGTTTAAATTATGAAGAAACGTCCGTGCTTCTTACAAAGAAGGATAGAGAGAGAAAGAAAGATAGAAAGAGAGAAAGAGAAAAGGTAGGGGGAGGGCGTCAGAGAAACAGGAAGAGGATCTAAGAAGCAGTGGTCAGATGTGATCGCGTATTGGAGATGAGGAGAGAGAAAGAGGTCGGTTTTAATAGTCGAGACCCCCTCGAGCCCACTTGCGCTCAGCACGCAGGAAATCCTCGGGGCTGATGTTCATCGGAGATAAGCACGTAGTGCGGTAGCCCAGCTCTACCGGGTGAGTATTTATTGGTTATTGGTTGCGGCCCGTCATTAGCCGAAATGGAGGTCCAATCACCGCGAGTAGATTCAGAGATATCGCGCAACACACGTCCTCCCCTCTCTTCGTCTCCGCAAGAAATATTGAAACAATTATTGCAATATTTATACGGACCTTCCTTTTTCTTACTTTTTCGTACTCTGAATTCAAGCTTTAAAGTTACAACCGCGCGTTAGAAAGCTATTTGTTTCAATACACACGCCTACAATACCACAGAAAAACTACAGAAAAGTGTGCGGTATTTGAAACTATAATATAATTGCATAATACAAAAATTATAGCTAGAATATTCATTTTTTATAGCAACTGCTACTATAATATTAGCAATAATAACCAACCAAGTACGTAACCAACCATATAATCAACATAAAAATTTTACTGTAAGTTAAAATAATTTTGAATATAAACACAGTAAGATAGCACGTTTTATTATACAAAAATCTCGTATAAAGTGTACACAAAATGGTTAAATAAATTAATATTATATTTATAATGACCATAGCGGTGTAGAATTAGCTATAATTTGCATAGTTAGAACACCTATAAAAATGTGGTTGGCGCCGAAGAGCACTATAAATGATAGTGAGATGATAGTTACTGTAACTATTTTTTTTTCTCTCAGCGTAGGTAATGAGTGGTCGGCTTGGTTTCTTAATTTTAGCGATGACTGTATCCCGCAGAGGAGAAGAGGATACAAAGAGGTAGAAAGGTGGAAGGAGGACGGCAATTTGGAGTAAAGCGGAAAAGAGAAAGAGAGAGAGAGAGAGAGAGTGAGAGGGAGGGGGATGTACGTTATACGTGGATTAATATTTATGGTTCGTAAAATATGCGGATGGAGCCGACGGTGTAATTTGCTGCGACTTGACCGGAGGGTCTAGGTCTAGACACGACCGGAGAAGCCTTCCCGGTTTAATTTTCGGCTACCGAATTTGGAATGGGCTTCGCGTTATTGGTACCTGTCCTTCTTCACTCCCTCATCCCTTTTCACCTCCCTCTTCTTTCTTCCTTGTGATACGCCTTTGCCTTTTTTTCCGCCTCTCCGTTGGATGATGTATCGAGCACACTGTGAGGATCACTGCTTAGCGGTCCAGCACTGTGTTTGTGCAGCCTCTAATTTGTGTTAATGAAACTCCCGGGATCGCTGTCTACCCTCCAGTGATGCATTGTAAAACGATGCGTGTCTCCGGTTCGAAGATCTTAACTATGGCTATGAATATTTGAATAGCAATATCACTCTGATAATTCGTATAAATTCGGATATAGATTCCTGAACTGACGATATTTGATATTGCGATCTTTTTTGAATTATTTAAATATCTGAAATATTAACCTGCGAATAATTGCGTGGCGCGGAAAGTCACGCGGGATGCTTTCTTTCACTCATCGCGAAACATCCTGCGGATGGTTGGATCCATAAAGAATTGTTATGTTAGTTTAGACGTCCAACAGTTGTAACGCGCGGTGTATTCTTCTCAGAGAAGAATACATCTCGTATTACTCGTTTGTCTGTCCAAGCAGTTGTTCATTGTGTACGCTAAATGTGCATATTATATGCACATGTCAATCACGGTGTGTTTGCAGTCGCGGCACATCTCTAATGCATGATAGCCATTGTTAGAGGAGCATGCGACTCCTATCGCGATTCATAATTACTGCCACGATTATTGATATATGCGTATATTTGCTTCCAGGGTTTAGACAGCAGTGGGAGACCAGCTTTCGTCCTGTACTTTCGTGTTCGTTTTTACGTCGATACGCCATTACTCCTAAGGTAAGGATATAGTTTTATTGTCATACTTTATTCAGAGAAGGTTATCCCTCTGTGATAATTTCTCGAAGTACAATCGCATTTTCTCTAGACGACTCTGATAAAAAATTCGAACTTTTCATATGTTGAAACTGTTTGAATAAAAAAAAATGAGCATCGTGTTCGGACAATTCGAACAGTCGTTGATCTATTGATGTAAGTTTGTAGCGTCCGAAGATTCGAACAGTTCGGACAGTGAAGAAAATTTTTCTTTTTATCTCTTCACCGAATTTGAGATTCGAATTGTCCGAACTGTTCTGTGTAAGTAATTTCAGATTTTTCAAGAGATAGTATTATTGTGTTTTCTACGCAGCACGTTTTTACGAGACGTAAAAAATCGTAATATATGGAAGTTGATTACAACTTCGATAAACGAATGTTTAATTTACCTGCTAATTAAACTGTGTTTTACTTGACAGAAAAGTAGATAGAGTGATGTGAAAAATCGAAATTACACAAGCCAATAAATGAAAGAAGAGCGATTCGATTTCCGATTCGATTGCGGAATTAATCAAAACGACGAGCATGCAAATATACGTCCGAATTACTACTACTGCAAAATGCGAAACGCGTCCGGCTACTTTTTCTCTTCTAGACGCGCCGGTGTCGCACGATTACAAGGCTCCACCGTGGAAAAAGAAAGAGACGTGCGAAAGGACAGCAAGGAGGGATGCGTATGAAAAAAAGGCGCGATACAAAGTTGCAGGGGGAGGGAATATCATACATAGTAGGGGGTACACGCTCGCGAAACGAAATTCGGACTCCCGTCCGGTAGCTAAGTGCTACCTATTCTTGTAATTATAAATTATTATGTGGCGCGTGATAGATCGACCGTGCGCATTAAATGAAAGCATTCCCGGGACTCTCTTCGATAATTATACCGATCCGTATAGTCGGTTTCTGATTTCCACTCGAAACCTGTGATTTACATCGGACTTGGCGATTCACCGCACGTTCGCGTCGACGAGGGTTTAATTCTCAAGCCTACAGGCTTGAGGGCCGCGCTTGGCGCGGGCTCCGAAAATTCCGCCGTGCCGTCCACGCCGATACTTCCGACTTTGGTTAATGACGATGCTTGTCGGTTCTCGTTCTGAAACTTTCGTCTGCGCTCTCCTTTTAACTAACGTTGCCCTTGATCCAATGACAATGTCGCAATAATCGCGCGTGTGTGTTAAATAACTCTTCGGTTGCAATTAAATGTTCGGCTGATTACATTATGAGTTGGAAATATTTTGCGACAATAAGAGTGACTTCAATAACACAGCATTTTGTTTCTGGTTTTATTCGTTCAATTAAACCCGCTTTAAACGATTTTTAATTTGCGACACAAAATTGGAAATATTTCTAATTCTTCTATTCCTAATTCTATGCGATAGAACATATTTGAAGATTCGGAATAAATGCAGTGTGATGTGTAATTTCGTACTTTTCAATGATGATGTTATTGTTTTTTTTTGCGTTGCACGCTTTTGCGCAGTGTGAAAAAAATTCATTATACAGGCGGAGCTTGTTTACAACTTCAACAAACGATTTAATTTATGTGTTTTTATTTAAGTTATCAAACTATGTTCGATAAGAAAAATATATTTCAAAAATTTATTTATTTATTACATAACCCAATATATTTACATGTGCAGAAATAGTGGTTTGCCAATCTAAAATGTCTAAGTTTTTGTCAAAAACGAAGCCTTGTGCGAAAAAAATTTATACTAAAATTTTAATTAATTTTTTTAACAAGAAATCGCTCTGTATTTACATGTAGTACGTTTTCAGCCTTGCATATATGATGATAATTTGATTATTAATGATTTGTTTTAAAATTCAAATTATAGATGATTTGGAACGAATATTATTCATCTCAAGCTTAAAGTATTTATCTTTAGCTTGTTATTCTTGAAAACACGTGTGCTCGTAAATGCCCATAATTGGCACCACGTGAATGTTCCGTATTATAACGGACGATGAGCGCGATGCCGAGTGCGATTTGCATAATTAATAAGAATACTTGGACCAAGCCTGTAAAGATATGCTCTTTCCGATTGGCGTACGATCTCCCGACGTTAAGCGTTAAGCAGAACGATCGAGCAGATTAATCGAACGTCGACGGATGTCGTTTGAAATATTCCCTACTCATTCATGCGATATATATATCTGTGTGGGAACGAGTTTTTATGCCGGCTCGATGGCCGACGCCAGCGCGATAAATATTAATTAGGTTTTAGTCGCGGAACAGAACTGAACATTTGCCACATTTATTTAATTTTATTATTATTCATATATGTTTTATTTTATATAATTATGCATGTATTTTAATGTATTCATTCTCAGATAATTCACTTGTTGTCAAGATCGTTATACTGAATAATATGAATTCTAATCATCACGAGAAAGAAAATTTTCCTTTGCATCATATTCGTTCTTGGAAAACCAACTCCAATCACTTTGAAACATTTCTTTGTATTGTTAGAAAGATAATTAAACTATATACTTCTAATACTTTTTTGTTCTCTTCTCGCTAAGTTCGATAATTGGTTTATCTATTTATTTTTATAAATATGTATACACGGAGAAAATTTTATATTAAAAATTACTATGATACGGCAGTAGCCGCGGACTGTAAGAGGAATTATATGTTTAAATACTACGGCCATTATATAAAAAACAATTTTTGATATAAAATTTTCTCCGCGTAGAAATAATTAAGATTTCTAATGGTACAAATTACGGCAAGCAATAATTAAATCAATAATAACTTTTGAAAAAGGAGTCTTTTTTCTTGACAATATTAATAAGTATTAATTAATAGGTTTTAATTATTCTTTGAATATATCTTAGAGGTTTGCATTGTTTTAGCGATGAGACGACGCAACACCACTATTACCTGCAACTGCGCGACAATGTTGTCCGGCATGGCGGCGGAGTGGAGAGCCTCCATCCTCACCATCCCTTGCACGAGCCGTCCATTGTTACACCGTTGCTCGCGCTTGCTGGGCTCGCCCTACAAGCCGATCTTGGTGACTACGCCGAGGAACGGCACAGGCCACACGCAGGATCTGTCGGTTACTGCAAGTCCACGGATTACCTTCCTCCCCATGTGAGCTTTGACTATTTTTTTATAATTTTTAAAATAAGTAAGGAAAAAAATTCACAGTATTCTGTTTTTTTTCTATAATCTAAAATATTTTTACGTGCACCAGCATCTTAAAAATATAACACGGTTTTTCAAGTAAAAGACATTTATGATTTAATGATTCTATCATTAATTCGATATTTAGCGAATAAAAACGATTGTTGTAACTTAGTTGAACATCCTTCATGGTATAATTATGGCTTTTAACGAGTTGAATAAATGCTTTCAGATGTGCCTCGAGGCCAATGTGCTCACCGTGCTCGCGGCCCAGCACAGGGAGAACAGCGGGCTCTCCAGAGAGGAGGCAGAGCTGCAGTACATCCGGGAGGCGGTACTGTTGGAGGCGCCACTCAACGCTCACCTGTATCGGCTGCGTCGGAGTAAAAACGAGGCGGGACCCGGACGGATTCTCCTGTCAATATGCGCCCGCGGGGTGCGAGTCTACTCCGAGGAGGAGACACCGCGTATCTTCGCCTGGAACAACATCGGCAAGCTTTCCTTCGACGTGAGTGCCTTCGAAATCGCGGCTCCTATTCGCTTACTGCAATGCAATATTGAATTCAGATATCAGAAGCAAAGAATTGAAAATAAATAATGAATAAATTGCTTGAAATAAATTAGTTTCTCTACATGCCACTGATGTTTGATAGCAAAGTGTATAGAAAATCTCTAGTATTTGTACATATTTCTTAAAAATTTGATTTTCTGCGCAGCGCAAGAAGTTTGAAATCCGTGCGGTTGGTCAAACGGACAAACTCACCCTCTACAGCGGCTGCGATGATAAGAGCAAGCTTCTCCTGGGGCTTTGCCGCGAAACCCATCAATTTTCCATGGCTATAGCACCTAGAGTAAACGAGGCCAAGAGACGGGAGGAAGAAGGTGATGTTTTGTATTTTTATTTATTACTAAATTATTAAATTAACGACTGTGCAAATTAGTAACGCACTCTTAAATCATGCAGTTTCTACTTTGTCAGTCAACATTAATGTTCGTAATCTCATTCCGATCGAAATCATTCACTAGATGTAGAAATCATTTGATCGGAATTTTACAATACGTCAGTATTTATCCACAATAGAATAACTGACGAAAAACACTATTATTTCGATCGAAATGTTTCTAAATAGATATATAATAGTTATCCAGTCTTTATTATCGCTTTCGATAGAATTTTATTTTTAGATCGATTTTAAATTGCCCTTTTACGATATGTAGTTAACTTTTTGCAATCATTTTTCTTATAGTTTTTGTAAAGTTTTATCATGTCGTGTAAAAGTTTCCAACTAACTAATAATTTGTTTTTAAAGTAATTTTCTTTACAAATATCTCTTAAATGATACTATATTCTTAGTCAAAATATTTTTTGGCATTATCTATCAATTGTTGCCTTTTTCAGTCAAAAGAATACCGCGATAAAAGAAGTTTTTTAAACGATCTATCTTTACATGAACGATGGAAACTTGTATACTCCTGTATATATAAAATGGCATCTATCACAATGGACAAAATAATTCAATTGATTGAAATTTTATTTGCACAGAGCGGAAAGTCTTGAGGGATTGTTATATGTATCCTACCCGATGCAAACTGAGCTTAACGACGCGCGGTGCACGCGGCGACCAGCGAATTTCAGTCATCTCGAGCACATCTTCAAACACGACATCCGGTATAGTCAGTGATCGGGTGCACAGCGAAGATGAGCCCGACACCGCACCTGCTTCGACCGAGTGTTTGCCACGGCTTACCGAGACGGCACCTTACTCGACCACTCAGAGTAGAGTCTTGAACGGCACAAACGCGGATACGGACAATCACTCAATGCCACCTTCTCCCGTGTCCATTATCGACGGTAAGTTTTATCACAATAACATATTGTTATAAAAATGAAAAATAGACACTTTTCTGAAAATCACTTCAGTTTTTCATGGGCTGCTTTTAGTCATCGTTATGTTTGCAACAAAAGTAAAACCATTAAATTTGAGCTCCACTATTTGTTTATCTTTTTTTTAAAAATAAAATTTTTTCTTAGATTTTTAGTTGAAGAAATGAAGTGTGTGTTTAAGGAAAATAAAAAAGGACTAGTTATTTTAAATATTGCACAACTTAACGATTATTTCAGGAACATCTTATACATAGTGCGTCCGAAAAGTATCGGGACTGATTTTTTCTAGCCAAGGGGAAGGGGTGTAGAGTGGTCTCCATGAGCAGGGATGTTGGTGGGGGATTTCAGATACACGACACGACCCGGCTTACTTGCCTTTGAACACTGATGCGATATCGCCCACCGCGGTCCCGGCTCCGCTGCCTCACAGAAGCGTACGTCACGTATCCGTGTGCCACGTGTGCCACGTGTGGCACACGGATACGTGACGTACGCTTCTGTGAGGTTGTGTGAGGCAGCGGAACCGGGACCGCGGTGGGCGATATCGCATCACTGTCTCTGAATTTTTGCAGAGTGTGGATCGCTCCTAGTGTGAACAGTTGTTTTGTAGTGTCGTCGAGAATCAAGATGCAACGCACGATTGAACAGGTAGGCGATCAAGTTTTGCGTGAGACTGAAAAAATCCGATGCTGAGACTCTTGCCACGATCCGTGAAGCCTACGGGGAAGATGCCATGTCAAAAACAATTGTTCACACTAGGAGCGATCCACACTCTGCAAAGATTCAGAGGCAAGTGAGCCGGGTCGCGTCGTATACCTGAAATCCCCCACCAACATCCCTGCCCATGGAGACGACTCTGCACCCCTTCCTCTTGGCTAGAAAAAATCAGTCCCGATACTTTTCAGACAATTGACAATTCGCACCATGTATGTACGGCACTTATTTTTGATTAAAGGAATAAAAATTACTTATAATTGATTTTAAAAAATCGCAAAAACGGCAGACTAACATAATTTTAGGACAATTTTCAGAAGTTGACGGGTTAGATACCACTTCTACGTCGGTGGCGTTACGCCTTGCGTCGAGCGCCACTATGGCCGCCGAGGGCTCGCAGTGCAGCAGCAGCTGCAGCACAGTCGTCGTCGTAAATGCACCTGCGGGTGGGCCTTCGCGAATGCGCCGCACCTCAGCAACCTCCAGTTTAGAATTAGGCTACTCGCACACAGCACAAAACTCCGCGGTTTCTTCGGAAACAGCCAGTTTCCCGGGCGCTATTTATGATCGCTGTAAGAAGACGAGCAAATACACAGGTGAGTAATTAATGAAAATAGTTATATATATTTTTTTAAAATAATATTTAATATTTAATAATATTAAATATTCTTCAGGTACTGACATTGCGAGCGAGACCAGCGGTGTTTACACGCTACGAAGTAGCGAGATGCAAGACGAACGGATCGGCGATGATCTGTACTCACCTACGGGGGACACCAACGAATCTTCGGCGGCGAGCGACGTCTGCGCTCTGAGCTCCGTTCAATCCACCACCGACGAAGCGTCCGTTACGTCCGGTTTTTACACCATTCACAGCGGATTGCGGTCCGAGAGCAGCGACGTTTATACCGAGGACGTCAGCGCGGAGGATCAGGAACCAATATACAGTGTTTGCAAAGGCGACGACGACGGGGTCTCCCTGAATCAACGGCTCGAGGACTCGCGCTCCCGCAGCAACAGTATTCTCAGTGCAGACAGTTTTCGCGGTGACGGTAGCGATCCGTCCAGCGTGAGACCGCTGCTTTCGGCCGACGAGTTGTCGGATCTGATAGTCGGCAGATATCCCCCGCGCAAGACTATCAGCACCTCGATGGACTCGGACTGCGATTACGTGACTATGCCGCTGCCTTTGCCGCCACCGCCGCCGCCACCGCCGCCGCCGAGAACGGACAGCGATCGGCAATTGCCGCCACCACCACCGTATCCGATAGACAACATCGATTACGCCACGATCAACGTCTCGAAGAGATCGAACGTAGTGGAATTGGATCGAGAGCGGGAGCCACCGCCGCCACCACCGCCGTACAACGCGACTCGCGGTGATTTCGTGCCGCTGCCACCCAGACGAACCGATCCGCCACCACCGCCGCCTCCGTACACCTCGCCACGCGAGAGGATTCAAATACCGCCGCCCACACCACCGCGAAATGACGCGGTAACGCCGCGAGAACCGCCGCCACCCCCTCACCCTATCCCGATATATCGGCGACGACCGGTCCGGTCGCGAGGATCACGAGGACCATCAGCGATGTCGCGACCGCGACCGTCGCGCCGAAACCACCACCCAGAATTCAGCCGCCCACTTACCCGGGTGATAAGATGAAGCCCACTCCGGTGCACGCCCCGGTTGCCGCTCTTGTGGTGAGTCCAAACAATTACCTGGATGTGCACGCATCCCGAGGTGGTGCGGTGCTTCTGCCGTATCTGACAGCACCGCCGCCTCCGCCGCCTCCACCTCCACCGCCATTAGTACATTCGCGACAACCGCCGCCGCCACCACCGCCACCGCCACTGCCGCCCCAGCCGACGTCCAGTCTGGCGACCGTCTACACGAGTCAGGTCGCCCGGTCACAGATTGAACAGTACAAACAGCAGTTATATTCTGACGTCGACTACGTCATGTTTCCACTCAAGGACCCGGCGGTGTCGAAGCAGGAGTACATCGACGCGAAGCAGGGCTCTCTCCTGGCAGCCATGGCGGCTTATCCACCGCCGCCGTACCCCTCATCTTTCAGCAAGTCCTCGGTGATGTATCGCAGCACGCCGTATCTTCCCGGTTCCTCGTTTTCCTCGCAGTCCAAGTACGCGTCCAACCAGAATCTGAGCGCCAGCGATACCGGCAGCTCCGGCGGCAATTACCTATTGCACGGTAATTTAAACAGTCATTACGCCGCCAGCACGAGCTCGCTGTATAGCGGCGTGACTTGTTCGTCCACGGGCAGCCACAGTCTCAGGAGAGAGCCGCCCGCACCAACTCACCCTCATACATTGCATACGTTCTCGCGGACTAGAAGTGATGAAAATATTCTCAAGTGCTTGGACACTCTAGTTGTGAGCAAAATGCAATCCAAGCATCGCAGGTTACCACCGCCTCCACCACCACCTCCTTACGAAATACAGGTAATAAAAAGGCACTAAAAGATACAGTATGCGTGCGGTTCATGTATGCATTGCAACCTAGAAAAAAAAAAGTAATATTATATATATAAAGAGATCAGTTTTCATGAATAAAATTAATTAAATTTGCAAAATTACAGTTAATAAATCAATTTTTATTCGCTATAATTAATAGTAAAATACAAGATCTCACATGCATAAAATAGTACAATTAAAATCTTTATCAGTCTTTTAATATTAATAAATTATTTTAAGAAAAAAAATTGTACAGCTTTTATGATATCAAAAATTTAACAAAATTTACGATTATCTTTCTCTTTCGATTTATTATAGACTTCCAAAAATTTTAAATTATATTTTCTTTTCTTATCGAGACATAAAATTATACATTAATTCATGTTTGATGCAAAACGCGTTATTTGTTCTAGAATCTTGAAAAAAATCAACCGTTACCACCGACTTCTTCAACGGCAACTTCCTCTTCAAGTGTCACTGCGAACCTAATGAACAAACCTAATAAATCCAGCAACGGTACGGAAGAAAACGACGAAGGGAAGAATGACGGCATGCTGGACATCCGAACGCTTCGGGAGAAGAGTCGTAACTTGGATTTACCGTTAATCTCCGCGCTGTGCAATGATCAATATCTGCTGAAGCAGACAAAGGCCTTCGTCCTGCCGAGACATCCCAGCGAGACCGCTTCCTCCGCCGCTGCGTCCACGAAGAACGGCACGCGGAGCAGCAGCAACGGGACGACTTCTAGAAACAAGTATCCAGTGAGTGGATTGTCAACGACACAAATTCAGAAACCGCCCAGAAAGTCCTCGACCAGTACTCACAAGCATCCCTCCGAGGCGAAGGGAAACGCCTATAGGGTCAACACGTCTTCCGCAGGGATCTCGACGGTTAAAAAGGACTTTACGAGGGCATCTCATTCCTAACGCTCGCTCTTTTCTCATTTTTAGGATTTTATAGCTCAGGATAAAAATACATTCCACAGTCCCGACCTGACCGCACGTTACATTTCGTTCCATTTGATGTAACTAGTGTGACGTAGTAAGGAAAAGTACGACAAATTGCATATCGTTCCCGCAGACCGTGCTTCTTCGACTCAGGGTGCCATCTTATTCATTCGTCATTCTTTTCCTGATCTTTTACGGACATTCGAAAGCTCCGATAATTAGATTATTTTTTGTTCCAAGCGACGGGATATACATATATATCTAAGTCGCGTAAATCGCTTATCGACGAAGATAAGCGTGTAAAACACTTCAATCACTTGCGCTCTTCGCTCTCATAATGCTTATTTTTGAAAATAACACACTTGCGCAAACCGCATTCTCATGTAAGATATTTTAGGTATTTCGAACTTTGGTATGGGAGAATCCCGGATGCACATAGAATTTAATGGACACAGCCGATTCCTTCTGTGTCCATTTCTTCTTGTGTCTGTTTGTAGCCTTTATGTGTCCGTTTGGAATGTAACCGACTTACACTGTGTGTCCATCTCAACCACACTGCTGTGTTCGTTAAATTCTGTGTACATGTGGACCTCACCTCTTTGGTATTAGGCACTTGAAGTGTCTATCGTCTCTTGCTCAATTTTACGGCCGATACGATGGAAATTTGATTTATGAGCCCCAATAAAGGCAGCGCTAGTCTCGCTCGTTAGGATAAACCATAGAGTTATTGGCCATTTTATACTAATCATTCTGTGGTAATTCACTATGCATGATAATTGTTACGTATTTAGTCTCTGATGTATTAATTTTGTATTAATCACACGAATTTATAAATTTTGATAAAGTTTAATTAAAATAATTCTATAAGATCTGAATGTTTTAAGAAATACAACAATTTTTATTGGGCTATAAGACCAAACACTAGTTGTTCGTACGATTTTATATTTTATGTTTACATCGTACTTTTACAGACGTTTTTGTCGTTCCATTAGAGACTTTCTTCAGTATAGTTATAGTGACGGATAACTTGTAAACAGCCTAACAGAAACTGTTGTATTTAATTAAAATAATCTTCGTTTTGTACATATGTCGATTGCTATTAGTGTTTGTTAATTTAAGATGGTCGAGTAACTCACACAATTCGGATCTCGAGCTTGAATATCAAAATTTCGAACTTTTGTGTAAAGAATTCTAAGAATTGTTTTTAATACAGTACGTATTGAACAATTTTATTACGAAAAGAAAATATTGCTTACGTGGCCAATAATCATATAGTTTACCCTACTTATGTCGTAAAAAAAAGCGACTTTCTTAGGTAATAATCTCGCGAAATGCATTTATATTTTGGAAGAAGACATATATCATTATTGTAATTAGAGAAATTATTAAAATTAGAGAATAGTACCTATCCTAGAATGTCTCTAGGAATAATATTTATTACCGAGCAGTTTCTCGTCTTTATATTTTACTATCTCCATCAGTGCTCGCTTTATAGTGCTGTTATCGAAGCGTACTTATTTTATGTAAATGCGCGCGCTGTTAGCGTAGTTAACTTCTTGTACTTTTGTAACAGATATAGTTTAATATTACAAAGCTGTCGAAACATTCGAATTCATTGGCACAATGAGATTGATATCATTAAGTTTACACTTATAAAGCATGCAGAAATTACACTGCGGAATATGTACCAAAAGGTAAAAACTTTAATGAAATCACTTCCGCTTTAGCGTGAATCTTACGTCACATTGAAGAGAAATATGCCAATTTAAAACTTATAAATAAATGTGATTTTTCGCGTAACATTGTAAAAAAGAAACACAAGTTGAAAAATTTATCGGTTTAAAGATATGATTGCCACACTTTGAAATAAAAAAAAGACGAACAAAATGGCGGTATTATGGTAATCTAAAGTGTGAAAGTGTCACCAGGCGTCAATACCCAGTAAATACAAGCTAACAGTAACATAACGTCAATATTATAATTTCCCACTTAACAATGTAACTGCAATATAACATGCCTTGTACGTAACAATTATGTTGTTGAGTGGGAAATTGTAACATTAATGTTATGTTACTGTTACTTTGTGTTTGCTGGGTAATGTCTTTCAATTTCGAACTTTTTACGTCGAATATATTATGTCTACAAATTTTGCATGACTAAAAAAATTGTTAAAAAGTAAAGTATTATATCAGAAGTTATAAGAATTTGATATATTGAATTTATCATATTCTTGTGGTTAAAAGAATGTCAAATTTTATAACAAATTTGGATAGATTCTGACAAATTTCGACATATTTTATTACTTTGTCAATCTATGTTTCAAAACCAAAGTAATAAAATATTTCATTAAAATCAAAGTTTATTAGAATCTATTGAAATTCGACACTTTTTAAAGAAACTGTAAGAATACGATAAATTCATACAAAATATATTATATCTTACAATTTTTCTCAAATTCTAACTTTTGAGATATTTATTTTTATCAGGCCAAACCCTTAGAGTTGCCACATTCTTAAATCTAATTCTGAGTCATGGTGCAATTGCTCTAATTATTTACTTTTTATTTTTAATTAGGGTTTTTAATTTAAATGTAAAATATATTGTATGGAGTTTTATCTGTTTCAAATTGTTGGCTATTTATAATTACATATACTGTGCTAATATGTTCTAGACATATGTATTATACTTTAAATCACCATAATTTCGCTATTTCTTAATTATTTTAAAATATATGTGAAATATTCAGTAAGAGTCTACTAAAAAATTTATTGGTTTGTCACACTTACAGTTTGTAACATAAAATTGATTTTATTTCGGATCTTATAAGATGGCACATCTCTATAATCATAATTCTTAATTAAAAAGCAATAATTTAGTCGTAAAAATTATCTACGTTAATTATCGTTAGGTTTTAATATTATATTATGAACACCTCGTTTGTACATAACATTGCGCGACATTACAGTACATGATATATAGACAGAAATTTCGTGCATGTATCCCACACGCCATCTCAGTTACGAATAAACAATAAAATTTTTTGTAATGAAAACAATTTGTAAGTTTCCATGTTTTTCGCTAAACTCTCTGCCTTTGTTAGCGTATTTTTTAATTATATAATTCATTATAAATATACGAAATATATGAATAACTCGACTGTAATTTAACTATATGCTTGCATAAAAAGAATTTTATATCATAGAAATATGTTATAGTGCAATAATAATATATATTAATGTTTATAGTTTTGATGTTTATTTGTTAAAGCAGAAAAAAATCAATATATATGACAAAATGTATAATTAAATCCGTTCAAAATATTTCTCATTCAGTAATGTAGGTGTAGCATAGACTCGTATCAAGTACTATTTTATCGACTGAAAAATGAATGTAACTATAAAGTTTTATTTTTATAGTTGTAGATAGCGCTGCGAATTGTCGGAAGTTAGGTGATATACATATTATTTTTCTTATTCTATAAAGTGTTCACACACATAGAAAAGAAATGAGTGGTAACCGTTTTTTAAACCGATAAATTTCTCGGCGTGCGCGCTCTTTTTTACAACGTTAAGTTAAGAAAATAGTTTATTAAATATTATATATATATTTCCCAGACAGAGCACGCATGTTCAAAATGCATCCAAAGGATACCCAGAGGATGTCCTATCGTCCCAAAAACGCCTTCGGAATATTCTCTGGACGTCTTTTGGATGCTGTGCTGCCTAGGTTAATAAACTATTAAAGGAACGAAAGGTCGCTGAAGAAAGTGACTTATTTACGGCTTGGTTTTATTACACGACGTGACAACAATGATGCCAGAAGTGTGTGCTGGGTTGCATTGCACAGCAACGGAGAACTACATCTGTACGTAATGGAGCCCAGGACGCACTTCTGGCATCACTGCGTGACAGCCGCATCAGATAGCGTCATAGCTGGCGATTGGCCGAGTGTGTATTTGTGGGATTGCCGATAGTTTGTATAATATGGTTGCGCGACATGACCTTTACGCGGCTTTAATTGTAGCTTATTGCAGCGTGAAGAACAGTCGTCCGTCTTTTCTCCGCTAAGACATGCGGTGCTAGTAATAGCATATATCTAGCATTTTATTTTGAAGTGCGTTCAAAGTTTAGAATTTCGGTTATTGATTCGGTTGTTATTTTCGCGCGTGTTGATTGTCAATTTTTGCATTTTAATGTTTAATCGATTTAAATTTTAAAATCGATTGAAATTTTCAACGTTTGAAACAAGATATCTGTTCTAAACACAGTGAATACCCGTGAACTTCATTTTTGGTAAGTACAAATTTATTAGAAAATATTATATATATTTATAGATATATTGCACGTTTTTGAGCAACATTCAAAATTTCCTGGTTTCGTATCAGATATAATTGTTATGTATATATATACACGATGTACAAACTGATATGAAGTTCAATAAACCTCATGTTGCTAAAAATTGTGTAACTGATATGAAGTCTGAGAAATCTCGGATGTTGCTCAAGACCATGCAATATACATATGCAGATTTTATCTTACACAGACTTTCTGCAGACGATATTTTAATTGTAACAAAAGATTTATTTTTAAATATTAATTCATTTTAAGATTACACGCGTCTAATCAATTATAAAATGTACGCGTTATTTTGACGTTAAAAATTATTTTTCTCAAAATGATTATTTTTTTGCACGTAAACTTTGTTGAAAAACTATTAGAATTTTATAAGAAATAGTAAAAGAGAATTATCTTACGATGCTCATATAGTACTCTTCTTTATTTATTGCAAATTATACTTTTACCTTTATTTGAGCAAGATTAACTTAAATTAAATTCTTGCTTAACACATTTCCACGATTATTGCTTAACGTTGTGTTACAAAAAGGAACGTAACACTGACAAGTATCCCATAGATGTTCTTAAAACCTGGAAATTGACAAAGCATTTTTTTAATTGATAAAATATATATAAATAACAATATATAATAATTGATAAAAATATATAAATAAGTTTATAAATGTTGATGCAACTTTTTAAATATCACTTTTTTATATGACAACAGATTTCTCAATTATAAAATTCAATAAATTATAATATGACTAGCGAGGTCTTCCGGCAAAAAACAAAACATAATAAATTTTTTGTTGCATAATTTTCGAAAAAATATAGTTTTAATTTATGTAAATTTAGCCTGCATTTATTTGCTTATATAATTTAACTTGTGCATTAATCAGGTTTCTATTAATTATATCATTATTTTGTAATAATTAGTTGAAGTTAACAATATCAAGCAAGTATATCAGAGTTATGATTATTAATTACTTTACTATTAAAATTAAAAAGAAAATAATTGTTACATCAGTGTACTTGATATATTATGATATAATGAATACACATGAATAAATTTTAAGATTACACGCGCGTAACAAACATCTGATCAATTAGAAAATCCACACATTATTTCGACGTTGAAAACCATTTTTCTCGAAAACTATGCAATCAATCGAGAAAATTTATCTTATATTCTTCACTTAATCTACACATATTTTTCCTTGCACATTAAATATTGAAATTAATTAGTTATTTCGCATGTTATAAATCATGTTATCTAGATTTATAGGATATGTCGAGAATACTTTTTTTCTCGCTTTATGTGAATTAATATTTTGCTATAAATCGTGATCAATTCTTATAAGATCCAATTTTGATCTACACATAGAACAGATTAAATTACGTCAGTTAAAGTGCTGAGACAAAAAGTAGTGAAACTGCCAGCTGTTAGACAGAGCGGCTTTTGCGATCTGGCCATGCATAGTATTACCATCCGCGCATTTCCCATTGACATATCATACCAGCGACAAGCGTAAAACGCTTCGCATACTTTAGCACTCTGTGAAAAAAAAAATTTTGTATATACAATTAAACCTCTCCGTATTTTTAACATGTTACCGACTGCCCGGATTTATTCATTTCATAACGCATCACTGCAAAACGGATAAATCTACTTTTTTACGATATATTGCAATAAGCACTTAGCATAAAGAGGCATCAACCCCGTTGTAATTTTACATTTTAACCCCGTTTAAATTCTTACATTTGGAGAACAGCTATCTGTAAGTTATTTTAGTTAAAAGTCATGTTTAAAATTCAAACAAAAACATTTTTTAAATTGATAATATATCTTCAGAAGCGATGTAAAGTATGTGCAGCTACCAAAATGGAAGGCTGCAATAGAATTTTGTGAAGCACCGCTGCATAAATGTACTTGTTTGTTTTAAACGTTAGTATATTATTAAAAAATACTAAAACATAAGCTTTTATAATTACAAGTCGACAATAGAGATAATCTTATTATTTTATATTATATAAATATTAAAATATGCAGCACCTAGCGTTTAAACAGCTGTAACTCGGGCAGTTGGTAAAGTGTTAATTCTCTTTATTTTTCTCTATTTTTTCAAACAGCATTTTACGCACACATGTTTCTATAGTAAATAAAGAGAGAGCAATGCAAAAGCAAAAATAAAAAAAAGAAAAAAGTAGATTTAAAAATATGTAAAAGTTCAATTTTTAAATTTGTTTTCTCTACAAATGTACCTCTGTCAGAAGACTTTCGCCGACAGTGCAATGAGCGTAGAGTATGAGCAAGACTAAGAATTGAAATATCAGAAATGTAACAAGGATCCCTCTTTCACCCTTAGCAACATTCTGCACACATAAAAATATTTAGCTAGTAAAATTGTTGAACAACTTTCATCGAAATTTATGTTATATTAATTTATGTTATATTAATAATGTTAATTTATGTTATATTAATTTATGTTATATTAATTTTCTAAATGCAAACTAACAATTTTAAGATAGATTAGAAATTTGCAATAGAAACTTTTTGGTAATTACAATATTTTTTTCAAAATATTTCTTGCAACTTAAAATTTTTATTAGATTACAAAATTTTTACATGTATACTGCATGTATAATTTTGATTTGAACTAAAAAATCACCTTACGTGTTTAAAGCACTATAGTAATATACATATGTTCAAACATATATGTTTTTACTTACTGTTAAAATTTGATAACCAAGAATACACACGAGAGAAGTAGCCCCGAAAAGATGAGCCAACAATGTCGCGCTAAACGCTTTCTCTATTGTTCTTCCCATTCTAAAATAGTTTTGTACTGTATGCGCTACATCATTTTTAGTTAAAATAAAATATACTATATAATAAGCTCTAACAAGTAGGATTTTTCATAAAAGAATCAAAAACTTTTTTAGGAAAATTAAATCTAAATTATAATTCTTTATTAATCTATATTTTTATAGTCTTTTATTTTCATATTATTATGATTCTTTATCAGTGAATAGTACTTATTAGACTACTTATTAGGAAGTATGTTTTATTTTAATAAAAAATTGATCCAAGACTAAAATCAAGATTCAAAACCAAGATAAGATATACATATAAAAAAAATACACTACAAATATCGAGCGCAAAGGCGCACGTGTAAGATTGATAAGAGTTTTAAAATTAAAATCAAGATTAATTCAAAATTGAAACAAGTTATTGATCTTTTTTGCTTTAAATCAAGATATACAAATCAAGATAAGATATACATATAAAAGAATACAAGTATCAAACGCAAATGCGCACGTGTAAGATTGTGATAAAAATTCCAAGACTAAAATCCAAATTAATGCAAAATTGAAACAAAACATTGATTTTTTTTTTTGCATTAAGCCAAGATAAGATATACATATGAAACAATACAAGTATCGAATACAAAAATGCACACGAACAAAATTGAGAAGAGCTTTTTTGTTACTGCTGTGACGTGATACGCGTAAGCTCACCGTAGTAGTCGTATGTGCATGAGCACCACATGCCGCACTTCACGCTTGCAGATGCCGGGATCGGTGTCTATGTTATTAATGCGCAAAGCTAAGACTGACATTTGGCCGCAAATGTGAAAGACAAGGGTGACCATGATGCAGTCAGCGGCGCTTTGACCGAAACCGCTGACAAACACGAACGGCAATTGCAAGGCGTATGTGAACGTGTAGACCGACATATTCTCGACTGAATAAAATAGATGAAAGCGATATGGCAATAAATAAATTATCTGAGTCACATTCTCATTTATCACTATTTTAGGCAGTCCTGAAAAAAAAGAGTTAAGATATCAGCATATCTAAAGAACTATCAAAGTAATATCAAAGTAATATCAAATTCAATCTCTTAGATTTCTTTCAAGATTAAAAGAGACTACTGTTTTGGAAACTTCCTACTTAAGATTATAAAAAGAAGTAGTAAACAATTATATAAGTTATGAGATGACTTTTTTAATGGAGGGATTATTTAAAAAATTCCACAATAATCGAGAAATTGATCACTAGTTGGCATTGATGTACAGAATTTTCATCGATTGCTCGCCTCTTGGGCTTTAAATATTTCTTCTTAGTTTATAAAAATGGACTTGTTTCTTAGATTAACTGATGTGTTACATAAAAGCAGAATGTAACTCACCACTTCCAAGTATAATAAGAATCGGCGTCAAGTAGTACGACGAAGCTGTCAGCGCAACGAACACCATCAATAATTTGACGAAGATCTTTGACCTAGCATTATATGTGATAAACATTTTCATCTCTTCAATTGTTTTATAACTTGACCTATCAAAGTCCTTCATGGCATCTGCTATGACCTCACCAATTTGACCGTTATATAACCGTAACATACTCATCCGCACAAATATCTGTGAGAACGCCATGTTTTCCGTTAGATTCATAATCACGTGCTCGAGATCCCCGATGAAAAGAAACAGGTCCAGGTACTCCATAACCATCCAGAAACTGAAGTAGCCGAAATTAATGGAGAAAATGAGATCGCTGGATCGAAAGGGCCAAAGACCCAGCGTTAACATCAATCGTTTATTCCAAGTCAACACCTCGGCCGCACGATCCAAATCTTTCTGATCCTGATAAAAAACATCATGAAAATTTCTTCACAACTAATTCTCGAACGATGTCTTACAATTCTTCGTGACATATTGCAATGTTGAAGAGGAGCTTCGGAACTCACCTGCATTGCACTTAATATTGTTCTTTCTTCGAATGTTCGCGTGAAACTGCACCAAATGTGACGCGTAAGAGTGCAAGTAATCTCTGTTCCAGTGCTTAAAGTTGTCTATAGAATCGAAAATGGACGATCAAAGACTCTGCAATAATTGCTTTTAAGACCGACGTACAAATTGCACATAAACGTGTTACTCGATCCACCTGCGCTTTCAATTCGAACATTGCAAGAAACGTTTTTTTTTTTCGTGATTATTTGTCGACATCGATGCAGATTTATATAATTGCAGGTATAAATCGCCGCCAAGCGGTTTTACGAACGACCGCGTTGTGCAAGAAAGTTAGATACGCTTTATGAACTTGCACTGTAAAAACATTGCGCGGTGTGCGATTTTTATCTTAATCGTGAAATAATTTTCTTCATTGTAACAGAAAAAAATTTGTGTACTTTAGACTGTGCAATCAAATATTTAACAAACATTTCTACGTAAAAAAGCTTCTCAGTTTTTAGATATAAAACAAATGACATTTTTAAGAAATAAAGTTGAAAATTATCCAAGCTACTAAAAATTAATTGTAAATGATCAATTATCGTTGTTCTTAAGTAAAAAATTGTTTTTTCTTCATATTTTGAAAGCCGCTGCTGGAACAAATTTGTTCACCAATAACATAATATATTAGAAATCAATATCAAGTTGAAAAAAAGTAACATTACTAATTCTTCAATCTGTAAAAATAGATTTTATCGATAACAAAGTAAGAAAGAAAAAAATTTTTTCGTGCTTTTAACTAATTTATTCATAAGATTTTCTGCTTGATGTGTTGCTTATCTATTCGTATGATTTCAAAATAACTTATTTATGATCAATTATGATGATTATGATGATCATTGTATACCTTGTAATGCAAATCATGGATTTAAAACGGTTTCTACGTGATTTTCTATTCATAATATACAGATTCTTTTAATATACGCTGTACTTAAACTTCGTTACTTCGTTTCTTCATATTACAGTGCGTAGCATTGACAAATATGCCAAGGAAGTTTTGATAACCTGCATCAACACAGAGATACTATGTATGATATCATTAACAAAAATACTGAAAACATCAATTGAAAATTTAGCTTTTTTATTTCAAGATAATTTTAAAATATTGAGTTATATAATAAGTCATTTCGCGCGCATGTTTTCCAAGAATGATATTACTGTTTTTTTTTCCGTAGCACGCTTTTACGCAATGTGAAAAAATCGTAATACGAATGAAACTTGATTGCAAACATCGAGAAACGAATATTTAATTTATATTTTAATCAAACTGCGCTTTGCTCGACAAAAAAGGTAGACAGATTTATTTAAAAAATGCAACCCAACAAACTTTTTGATTATGATGATGTTTAAATATAGTTTTTGGTAAATCGTTGCATGAAAGAATATTGTTTAAACACACTCACATCTGTAAAACTGCTTAAAGAAAATATATAAAACTTTCCAGCTGTTAAATAGAGCATAACTTGGCCACGAATCATACATATCAGCAAGCACCTCTTGCAATTGAGCGGCATTTCGTACCAATCGCATTGATAGTATGCATCCTGCACGTTTATACACTAAACATGAAACGGTCGAGTATAACAAATATTTGATATATTTGATATATTGTGAATCCAATGATATCAGACGAAGGACATAAATCTTATCACACAGCACACTTCAGTATAAGTTTGCACAACTAATTATATGACTGTTTTGATAATACGAGTGTTCAAAAGAAATTTGTCATAAGTTCCAATTTTTCTCGATTTATTGGTAAAGAGTTTAAAATGCGTATGTTTTTATCTGTGCCTGTTTTAATATTCAAAAGATAAAATTATTTTTCTTAAATTAACTTTATGTATTAAATTTTTAAAAAATATTGGTAAAAGATAATAATATTTTATATATTTTACAACTGTGTGAATTGTCCAAAAAACTTCCAATTTAACTGCAATTTGCATTCTAGAGATTGCAGTAGTATATTTCTTCCTACAATGCAAATTTTATTTCCGCATATAAAATATCGAATGCAAATATTCTCTTAATTAAATGAAGAAAGGTTATAATTATCAACTGTTAATTTTTTGTTGCAGAACCATACATCACTCTTTTATTTTTATAATGTTTCTGTATGCGAAGAGTTTATCTCTTCATTTGATTATCATTGATTGTTATTTGTTTTTAATGATACCTGTTGAGTTAGTTGATCTCCAATCAGACAATATCCATAAAGCATAACAAGCGCAATAATAGCGAAAAATATAAAAGTACAGCAGGTCGCTACTTCTGAAACTTCCAAGTTCTGAAAAATATAAAATATTTGAAGATTTGAAGAATATTTGTATATACAATTAGGAATATTGAAAGCTATTTACTCGGATGCCACCACCACTTTCCAAAAGCATTTACTACATTCTTTATTTTTCTATTTTTTCTTGGATCTCTTGGAGATCTCCTCCTCCATCTATTAATTTTTACCCAACATCGAATAAAAATGGAAAAATAAACAAATATCGTAAATGTTTTTGGAAAGAGGTGGAGATACCCGAATAAATAGCTTTCGATGCACTTGATTGTACAAAGTATTCCTTAATTTATAATATTGTAATTTAAATGATAGATTTTCTGAACAATTTAAAACTTGATTTTTTTTTACGGAAAGTTTATTAGAAGTCGCTTAATTTTAATTCGCCTTTTCCGATGCTCTTCTTGCCGGATTCAGGATTCAGTCAAATTAGGTTTTTTATAATGATAAAATAATGAAAAAAAAAATTAAATAACATACCATTGTGACGTAATACATTGAGATAGCTAGTACAATACTATTGCCAAGAAGTTCATCGAGAAGGATCAGATTGAAAGTATCGTCCACGGATTTTGCCATCCTTCAGTCGCCATAGTATTCCGACAGAATCGTGCGCGAAAAGAAGACAAAAGCAGAATAAAAGGGCTTTGTCTATACATTAATCATAAAAAAGAGGCAGTTATACATTTTACACGCTAAGATACGACTGCAATATGCTCACCATACTATTTTGAGATGTATTCGGACGAAACTGCGAATTCTGTCCACCACCATGTCTTGAGGGTACGTTTCAATGTTTCTGATACGGTACGACAAAATGGACAATTCCCCGCAAATGTGAAATACTAAAATGACCACCAAGCAGATTGCCGCCATGTGACAGATGGAGGCGTAGAACATCGGGAATAGGTACAAATACATTAATATATATGTACGAGTATTAGTGATGTCGATGAATGTATGGACCTTATAGGGTAGCATATAAGATTTTGTACTGTTGTTTAGTGCTGAAAAAAAGAACAGAAAGGAAGTAAGAGAAAGGAGAAATACGTCATATAATGCAACAAAGTATTGAGTTGTGTAATAAATAATAATATCGGATTTTTTAAATTTACTTTTTTTTAATCACAGTTTGATTAAGAAGTAAATTAAATATTTGTCAAAATTGTAATCAAATTCCGCCCGTATTACGATTTTTTCATCTTATGTAAAAGCGTGCTGCGTAAAAAACAATAACACTGTCATCTGAAAATATGAATTTACAAGCAAATTTTTCTAGCACTTTTGAATAACATTTTTTAATCCAATGTACAAAAAAAAGGAAATAGAGACTCATCAGGAATTATCAGATCTGCTAAAGAAAAAGAGAAAAAAGAATCTTTGAATCAAAAGGGCATCCTTTAACTGATCACAAATTACCTACCTAAATAAACAGTATATAAAACAGCGGGGATCAGCGTCAAGAGCGCTCTTTTTGACTAATCAAAGATATCATGTGCATGAAGTTAGCCCCCC